TAGTTCCTGTCTCTGTCTTCTAACACTGGCATTGTAGGTGCATTACACTATATTTATGCTGTGCTGAGGACTGATCCCTGGCCTCTTGCATTTTAAACAAGCACTCTACCAAATGAGCTATATCCTCAGCCCCTTGTGTAACTTTAAACTTTCACTTAAAGAAGATTTTGAAGAAAATCAAGGCAAGATCAGTCTTGGTGTGTTTGCATCCCCAATGTCAATGCCTGGTCTCCAGCTTCTATAGCTGGAGATACTTCTTTACACACACGCACACGCACAAATCTTGTTAAGGCCTAGGTAACTGTTACCTAGCTAGCCTGCCATTTTGTGCTATTACCACTGTTATAAGGAAATTTTCTCATATGTTGTTACTAAGAAACTTTCTCATGTTCAAGTTGTTTTCATATTCTGTTATAGTCTGTGCTCTTGGAAACCAATCACAATAGAAGTCAGAATGGCTTCATAGAGTTAGCCACAATAAGCTTGGACCTCAACCAACCGCCTAGCAGCACTTCCTGCATCTGTGTATAAGCTTTTATATTGTTTGCTGTTATAAGCTGCCCCTGGGATGGACCCCAACATAAGAGAGAGACACCTGCACCAATATAAAAAGCTATTTGGAGTAAGACTTCCATGTGGAGTAGTGGTCAAATAAAAGCTCAAGTTCCCAACACTTCCCTAGGAATTGTCATCCTACTTGGCAGAAAGAGACATGTGTGTGGGTAACTAGTATATTGGTTGTCAAGTTAAGACACAAATGTTAGGCAAGATAAGTCCCCTGCCACAGTTGAATTCTACAACCAGTGGGGGCAGGATAAGTGTACAACAAAGGCATGTTCTTAATGAAGTCCTCTATTCATAAATCCTGATCAGTGAAATAACTTAGCACAGATATTTGTGAATCTCAGTCTTAAAAACTCTATAAGATTCTAGCTGAGCATTGCAATCAGCTCCTGAGTCTGATCTGAGGCCCTGATCGATCAACCCCGGGGTGAATGCTCAATAAACTATACCTATCTGAGATTAGTGTTCTTGTGATTTGAGAGGTGATCCCTGGACCCCAACACCTCTAATTCCAACTGAACTGTTTCCTAAACAGTATTAAGATAAAAACCAAACAAATGAAAAACCAAAACCAAACAAACAGTGTTAAGAAAGAGCAATCTGTTTTGCAATCAGTAGCTGCCCAGTTATCACGCAGGAAGCTGGGCTAAACCCTAAGGCCTATGGTGTTTGGGAAAGTTCAGTAGGGAAAAGGGAAAGCAGAGAGATGTCTGTACTGTGTAGGGTATTCTTTCCCATGATGACTGTAGTCTGGAGATGCAAAAGTTCCAGAGGTACCCTTCAGAGACTTTCCCTGGGACAGGGGACTGAGGCTTGACTGTTGGGGCAATGCTTGTTTGGAATCTTTTTTTAGGGAGCCATCTTTCCTTCAGATGTCCCAAGTTCTCAGAGGCCTCTGAGACTCAAACACATATAAGGCTTAGCCAGGTGAGGGAAACAGAGCACAGATAAGGGAAGTTGCTGGCTTTCCAGTGGCCACAAATGTGGCAGGGTCAACTGGTCAGGATCATTGGAAAGTCACAAAGCATCTCTGGGCCCTGTGCCTGTTCAGGCCCACAACCCTAACCCTGAGCAGGTTAGACAGACTTCTATTTGAGAATTCGCCTCTCCCATGAGTAGAGAGTTACAAATATTTGCTTTCTCTTTCCCAGCATTCCTTGCTTCTTGCTGCCTATGGAAAGGCAGGACCAGCATCCCAATTGGTGGGAATTCACAGTGCTTTCAGCTTCTGGGTCTACAATCTCTGTATGACTGCCCTGTGTTGCCTGGGTGACCCACACTCTCTTGCTGCCTGGGCCCTTAAGGACAAAAAAATCAAAAGAGTATTGAGCCCTGGGCCCTGGGCCCCTCCTCAACCTAACCATGTGCCACTCTGCCCTAGTATTGAACCGATCTGAATGATGTCTTGTGTTTGGGGTACCCAAAATGTCTTTCCCAGTTTGTTTTTCTTTGGTCATCCCAAACATCCTTCAACACAGCGCCTAAAGCATAGATTTCTCAAGGAAATCTTTTTTGGTCTCCCTGAGTCCCAGCTGACCCAAGTGCTCTGATGTTCTGTGGGGTGTGTCAGTTGTGCAGGTGTATACCATTGTTTACCTTCTGGCTTCCTCCTGGGGAACTCCTTGAAAAGCAGGCCCATACATTGCTCCAGGGAGTGTGTTCCCTATCCACCGTAGGCCAAAGAGCAGCATATGCAAGCACTTAATAAATACCCATTAAATAAGTCACTGACGGAAGGTCAGCTGCAGAGACCTGCTTGGCTTGGAAGTCAGGGAGCCTGACAGACCTGAGCTGTGCCACACTGGTATCCTTGGCAACAGCATTTCCTTATTGGACTTTCTTCTTACTATCTCTGTTCTTTGTTTGTTTGCTTGTTTGTTTTGTTTTGTTTTTGTTTTAAGCCATTAAATGTGTCTTCCTTCCAATCACGTCAAAAGGCCTGATGAAGGCAATTGGGAGCAAGTGTTGTCACGCTTGGCTGCTGAAAGGAAGGCATGTAGTCTTCACGAGACACATTTGGCAACACATTCTGAAACCCTAAAATTGTGCAAGCCCAAATTTTATTGCTAAGATATTTTGAAAAATAAATAAATAAATTGAGACTGGGTCTCACTCTATCTCAAACAGGCTGGCTTCAAGGTCAGCATTCACTTGCCTTGCATACCCAGTGCTGGGATTAGGGGCAAACAGAGCTGCCCCCAATGGAGACTTCTTGCCTAAGGAAACAACCTAAGACGTGTCTGGAGATTTAACTCCAAAGATGTTTCTCCAAATATTGTCCATAGCAGTGAAAACTGGAAACAACCCAAGTATCTAACAAGAAAGGGTTATTTAATAAAGCACATACACTATCCATACAAAATCTGCAGGCATGAAAATAAAGCCAATGGTGCCCAGAATGGCACTGCAAATCTTTAAATCCAGCACTTGGGAGGCAGAGGCAGATAGATCTCTATAAATTGGAGGCTAGCCTGGTCTATGTAGTGAGTTCCAAAACAACTAGGGCTACATAGAAATACTCTGTAACCTCAGGCAGTGGTGGCGCACGCCTTTAATCCCAGCACTTAGGAGGCAGAGGCAGGCAGATTTCTGAGTTCGAGGCCAGCCTGGTCTACAGAGTGAGTTACAGAACAGCCAGGACTACACAGAGAAACCCTGTCTCAAAAAAAAATTACTCTGTCTCAAAACAAACAAACAAACAAACAAACAAACAAAAAGGGCAGAGACAAAAGAGGTCAGAGAGGTATTCAGTGGCTAAAGTCACCTGTATCCAGCATGAGGATCCACATAGTGAAAAGAGAGAGGGCTCCTACAAAGCTGTCCTCTGACAACGGTGTGTGTACGTGCATACACCTCCAACCAAGGAATAAATACACACAATGAAACCAACTTTAAAAATGGAACAAATGCATATATGCTGACAAGTAGATGTGCAGACTAAAGTGTTGAGTCCTGCAGGAGGTTGTACCAGGCTAGGTGGTAGCAAGTTCAAGAGAAGCTTAAGTTTAAGATCAGCCTGGGCAATGCAATAAGATCTTGTCTTAAAAATGATATAAAATAATATAAAATTGTTCTCTCTCTCTCTGCATCTCTCTCTGTCTCTCTCTTCTGAGACAGGGTTTCTCTGTATATCATTGGCTGTCCTAGAACTCATTCTCTAGACCAGGCTGACCTCGAACTCACAGAGATCTCCCTGCCTCTGCCTCCCAAGTGCAATTATGGGAAATTTTACTCTTTCTTGTTGCTTATTTATATGAAACACAATGATAACTCTTGAAAAAGAATCACCTACAGCCGGGCGGTGGTGGCACACGCCTTTAATCCCAGCACTTGGGAGACAGAGGCAGGCAGATTTCTGAGTTCGAGGCCAGCCTGGTCTACAGAGTGAGTTCCAGGATAGCCAGGACTACACAGAGAAACCCTGTCTCGAAAAACCAAAAAGAAAGAAAAAAAAAGAATCACCTACAGAAGCAATTGATTATAGGTTATTTCTATTTAATTTGTTTTATTTTGAGACAAGGTCTCATGTAAGTCAGGCTGGCTTCAAGTTAGCTATTCAGCTGAGGCTGGGCCAACTTCTGATCCTCCTGCCTCTGCTTCTCAAGTGCTAGGATTAGAGGCTTGTGCAAGCACTTGAGGCTCAGTTTATGTTAATCTCTTGCTTATTCTTGCCCCACAGGTTCTAATCAATGAAAATATGTTACCTGTAGACTCAAAAAATATTCTGGAAAGCTTGTAACACTCTAGACTCCAACTCTTAAAAAGCTACTTGTCGGAGTTCACAAATAGCAAAACCAGAAGAATAAATGATTTCTTTCTCCTGAGCCTGGAATCAGCTTCCCAGGTGATAGGACCTGGGACACAGTGGGAAGATGTTTGGGTGTGGCTTTGTCCTTAGCCAAGATGGATGGGATCTGAGCATAGATGAGAGTGGTTCATAGGAGATGACCAAAGTAGTCCTGCCCCAGGGTCTCTGGAGGTGGGCAGGCACCGGACTGTTCCTGATCGAGACTGTCTTGCCTTTCTCAGGGGAGAAACCCCCCCTTTTCTATTTCATAACGATCTTTAACCTGAACCTTCCTAACTGACTGATCTTGCTCAGACAGGCCCTGGGCTACTTCACCAACTGACCCTTAACCACAACCAGCTCTGCTCGCTCCGAAATCAGCTATGGGTCCTTCCCTGCCAGAGGTTGAGAGGAAGGGGCTGTGGAGAGAGAGGAAGTTGCCTTTGTCCTGAGCCTGTAGCCCCCAGTGTCGTCCTTCCTGAGACGCCTAACTGTCTCCAGCCAGATTTCCTGTCTCCTCTGCCCCACTGAGAACTGGGGGCTCCCTACCACGGTTAGCATGGGGGTGACTCTGAGGCCCTCAAGGGGGTCAGCATTGCTACATCTTCCCTGTGACCTCCCTTCCCTCCATGGGGCTACACTACTCCCCATAACTTCTTAGCCTTAGCTCCCTGAATTTTGGTTCTTTCAAAGGAATTGGGACACTCAACCAACATTTTGAGGGGCTAGTTGTTTGTGCTCTCTGGGAGTATCTCTGATCCATTCCCCTGTCAATCCCTCCACTTCATGGGCCCCTCTCTGTGCACCCCTAACCCCAGTGGGGGAGGAGAGTTTAGTCTTGGGATAGGTCTGTCTCTTTTTAGGTCAGCCCGCCCCCAGCTTCAACGGGATAAAAGCCCATTGCCAGTGAGAGGTGTTGACAATGTCAGGTAAGTGGTGGAGTGGAGCTCTTGGGGACTGGGGACTATAACTGGAGGGGGCCCTTAGGTTGGAGACCTCTTTCTCACAGAGGCCTTCCTCATAGACCAGGCCCACTGGGGTAGGACTGTGTATGAAGTGGGGAGGAGGGAGCTTGGGAGGAAGGGAAGGGTAAACCTCTTTTCTCTCAAAAGTTCAGGGCGCTTCTTGGGATGGTGTTTTTTGTTTTTTGTTTTATTTTATTTTGTTTTGTCTTGCAGAGATGAAGCTATTCTTGACCTTGGCAGGCCTCCTGGCCTCCCTGGCCATGCTTCAGACTGGCAATGGTGCCACTCCAGGTAATAGTGCCAAAAGGGGTGTGAGGGTGGGGATTTCCAGCCCAACATCTCCCCTTTCCCTGGGCAGTCCTCCTTTGGCTTTGGGGCCTGATGAAGGGCTTTGGGGCCAGCCCTGATCTTGTGATGTACGCTCTGGGCAGCTCTCCTGGGGGAAGTGGAGAATTCAGTGGTGCTGAGCTGTATGGAGGAGGCCAAGCAGCTAGTGGACAGAGCCTACAAGGAGCGGAGAGAAAGGTGAGAGTGCCAGGCCCTGTGCAGCCCTGGGCAAAGCTGCTCCAAGTCTTCTGGAGAAAGGACAAGCAGTAGGGGGTGGTAGACCGGATGAGGGCTTACAGGTGAGACCGGACCTGGTCTGTCTGTAGTTGAGTTTCTGGCTGTCAGAACATCTTCAAAGCCACTCCTTCAATGGCCTTGCTTTCTGTCTGGACATCCAGGTCCATATCTTTTTGACAGAAGAAATCCACTTCTCCTCTGTGGTTCTCTACATAGTTCTTTCCGGCTGCTCGCCACAGGCTGGCCTGTGCTGAGTGTCTGTACCTCTTCTCTGGCCCTCTCTTGTCTAAGCAGCATCAAGCAGAGCCTTCGAAGTGGCTCCGCCAGCCCCACAGAACTCCTGTTCTACTTTAAGGAGCCGGTGGCGGGCACCAGAACAGCTGTGAGGGCTGCTGACTATCTGCACGTGGCCCTAGACCTGCTGAAGAGGAAGCTGCAGCCCCTGTGGCCACGGCCTTTCAATGTCACAGGTACTGTAACTCCTTCCTTTTTAGTCACCACTCCGTGTCTCTCAGCAAATTCTGCCAGAAGCCTCCCTCTAAGGCAGTGGTTCTCAACCTATGGGTCACGACCCCCTTGGGTAAGCCGAGCGAGCCTTTCACAGGGGTCACCTAAGACCATTGGAAAACACAGATCTTGTGATTACGATTCATAACAGTAGCAAAACGACAGCTATGAAGTAGCAACGAAAATAATTTTACCGTTGCGTTCACCTCACGAGAAACTGTATTAAGGGGTCTCAGCATTAGCAAACGTGAGAACCACTGGTCTAAGGAGTCTCAGAGGCAACCTACCACTCTTTCCGCCTCTGAGCTGGCCAGCCCACTCCTCACCCTCCCTGGGCTACTCAGCCCCAGGCTGCCTAGCATAGGAAAGGAGGTGGGGGAAGGCTCAGATCTAAGATCGTGGCTCACTCTCGCAGATGTGTTGACACCTGCTCAGCTGAATCTGTTGTCTGTGTCAAGTGGCTGTGCCTATCAGGACGTGGGAGTGACATGCCCACAGCAGGACAAGTATCGCACCATCTCTGGACACTGCAACAACAGGTGCGGGCCCAGGGCAGTCAAGGATGTGTGGTGTAGAGGGTCTAGGTCCTGCCTGTGGCGACCCATTGGGCCAGAGCTCTGTGTTTCCCTCTAGACGCAGCCCCACTCTGGGGGCCTCCAACCGCGCCTTTGTGCGCTGGCTGCCTGCGGAGTATGAAGATGGCGTCTCCATACCCTTCGGCTGGACGCCCGGGATCAATCGCAATGGCTTCAAGGTGCCCCTGGTGAGTGTCCAGTAGAGGGAGATGGAGCCCAGCCCTATGTGCAGGACCTAGGCATCCAATGACTCCTGTTGTTGCTGCAGGCTCGCCAGGTCTCCAACGTCATCGTGCGCTTCCCCAACGATCAGCTGACCAAGGACCAGGAGCGCGCGCTCATGTTCATGCAGTGGGGCCAGCTTCTGGATCATGAAGTCACCTTGACTCCAGAGCCAGCTACGCGGTTCTCCTTCTTCACTGGCCTCAACTGTGAGACCAGCTGCCTGCAGCAGCCACCCTGCTTCCCCCTCAAGGTGCTGCCTCCTTCCATCCACCATGGTCTGTGCCTGGAGAGAGGGAAGACACTTTACATGAGTGACAGTGCCCCTTCTCTGCCCTAGTTCCTCCCCAGCCCTTGAGCAAGGCTGGTCCTCATTCCTAGGTCCAGAGTCAGTACTTATCTCCTTCAGCAGAGCCAGCTGTCAACTCAAGGAGCCTAATATGCACCCTGAACCTAGCATTGCCCTGTGTCGTGGAGTGACTGGCTCTTTGTGAGGTTGGGAGAATTCTGGGATGTGGACCTGACCTGTCTTCTTCACACTCCCAGTGGAGGAGCACTGGTCTGTTCTCTCTCCTGTGGGCACTTACTTCCCTAACCCTGCTTCATACTGTGTGTGTGTGTGTGTGTGTGTGTGTGTGTGTGTGTGTGTGTTTGGGGTGTTTGGGTTCCCCAGTAGTCAAGGTCAGGGTTTGAGGCACCTTCTGTGTAGGGGGAAAAGTGTGGAGAAAAAAAAAGGCAGAGATGAAGGAGATAAAGGGCCAGGAGTCTGACAGGGCCAGGGTGACAGACAGACAGAGAGGAAAAGGCAGACACAGGCAAGAAGAGAATTAAGAGGCATAGGGAAGAGGGGTCAGAGGGCTGGCCTTGGCCAACCCCAGAAGGCTCTCTCCATTCCAGTTCAGTGAATTCTTTGTCATCCCTAAACCTCAGTCTCATTGCTAGCTGAGCCCCAGTAATTCTATGGAACCCTGAGAGACTCCCTGCAGCTCGGGGTGTGGGGGGGAGAGGGGGTGTCAGAGTTCTCTTCTGCAGGGTGTAAGCTACAAATGACCACTGTCCCAATCCACAAAAGTCAGACTAGCTTCTCTCTGTGCTGTAGATCCCACCCAATGACCCTCGAATCAAGAACCAAAAGGACTGCATTCCCTTCTTCCGCTCCTGCCCGGCATGCACCAGGAGCAACATCACCATTCGCAACCAGATCAACGCGCTCACTTCGTTCGTGGATGGCAGTGCGGTGTATGGCAGCGAGGACCCCCTGGCCAGGAGGCTGCGCAACCTCACCAACCAGCTGGGGCTGCTGGCGGTCAATACACGCTTCCAAGACAACGGCAGGGCCCTGCTGCCCTTTGACAACCTGCACGATGATCCCTGCCTCCTCACCAACCGCTCTGTCCGCATTCCTTGTTTTCTGGCAGGTCAGCTTGGGGACTGGACTAGAGTGGCTTGGAGCTGTTTCCAGCTTGTGGCAACACAGTGAGCCTGTATGTGAGCAGCATGCGGGTTTGTGATAAGAGACACTGGTCTCAACAACTTATTAGTCCAGTTGCCTTGGTAACAAGTTGGTTAGAGACAGAAAGGAGAATAACAACAGCAAAAACAAACCACATACACATACAAAAAAATCCTCCATCCATCAACCTAAGATGAAGACACAGGGCTGCTAAGGACCCTCTATTGTCTATCTAGCTTTTTCTGTCTTTTCCCTCCCGTGGACTGTGGAAAAAGAGAGAGCCGAGTCTTTGTCCGCAAGGGACAGAGAACTAAAGGCAACAGAGAGGAACAGGGTATCCTCTCCCTTTAGAACAGTCCTGTCCAATCTGGAGCCAGTAGCCACATCTGGTTATTTCAATTTAAATTATTTGTAGCAGGGATTACTGGCTCACACCTTTAATCCAGTCTTTGGGAGGCAGAGGCATGAGGATCTTTGTGAGAGTTCAAGGCCAGCCTGATCTACAGAGTGAGTTCTGGGACAGCCAGAGCTATATAGTGATAGTGAGACCCTGTCTTGAAAAAGAAGAAGAAAACTACCAATAAATACATAAACAATTTTAAATTAAATTAAATTAAAAGTTTCTGTAGTAACCACATTTTAAGGGCTCAGGAGTCCCGTGAGCTAGTAGTTCCCTACTTGGTAGTGAAGTGATTGTTTTCTTCACCCCAGAAAGTTCTAGTAGATTGTGTCACAGAATATTATTCCGTGGGCATTTTGGTTTCTTAGAAAGACAGAAGGTGGGGTTTCAAAAGGAAAGATACCTGGCAGTTTGGGTATAGGACTGGGGCAGGGATTGTGGTCACACCCAGCAATCGACGCCCCTCCCCCCACCTCTCTGTGATGTTAGACTGGGTTATATAGCTAGCCTTAGCAGGTCCGGTACTTGCTTTGAAGCCCAGACTAGCTTCAACCATTCCTCAATCTTCCTATCTTAGCCTGCCAAGTGTTGAGTGACTCACAGGTACTATCAAGCCCACACACAGTGCTAGAAGTCTTTCTTCTAGGGGTCCTGATGGTCTCTCCTGGGTCCCCTGGCAGGAGAGTCAAAGTCAATACCAGGTTGCATCTCCTAAGGGAGGGCCCGCTCTCTTCTGGGCTAGTTATGACCTCTGGTTACTCATAGGGTGGAAGCTGCTCTCAGGAATATATTTTCCTCTCAGAATTTTCTTTCTAAGTTGGCAAGGGCTGAGCCCAGTCAGTGTCTTGCAGCAAAGGTCCTGGGCCTCACCTTCTAGCCTTCCCTGATGAAGGTTTATGGAGCACTAGAGGAATCGGGGACTTTGTTTCCTTGAACAGTCTTAGGTGTAGATGCACACATCCTGTGTCTCCTCACCAGGACAAGTTGTACAGTTGACTTATTGCGAGAGAGCTAATGACAGCTGTCTTCAAATAGTGGGGGTTCTGGGTCCTGTTTGGAGGAGGATTCTCAGGTTGCCTCCAATTTGAGCAGAAAACATGCATGCTACTTTTTGGCTCATGCCAAATCAAGACAATAAGATGAGTACTTGCTCTTGGGGTTGGTCAGGTATCGTGAGACGTGTGTATATGTGTGTGTGTAGTATGTATGTATATGTGTATGTGTGTGTGGTATGTGTGTATGTATGTGTATATGTGTGTGTATGGTATATATGTGTATAGTATGTGTGTACATATGTGTGTATATGTGTGTATAATGTGTATGTATGTGTGTGTAGTATGTGTGCATGTGTGTATGTAGTGTGTGTGTATAGAAAAGGGCAAAATACAGAAAGACACAAGGCTTGGACTTGTGCCTAAGGATCTCTTGGTCTGAGCTACAGGCAGGTGGCAATCAAATGTCATGCCTAGTGGGTAAGGCTTCAGGAAAGACTTCAGTGCTCCCAAGTTCTTACGTCAGCCTGTGGCTGATACCTGAGTCTGGGGTGTGGGGGCAGGTGGAGGACAGGCACATGAGAACCACTGAAGGTCTTTGTTGGACAGGGGATGGAGACCATAAAGATGACAAAGGGTTTGCTTCCCTAAGGGGACATGCGCTCCAGTGAGATGCCGGGGCTCACCTCCTTGCACACCCTCTTCGTCCGAGAGCATAACCGGCTGGCCACACAGCTCAAGCGCCTGAATCCTCGATGGAATGGGGAGAGGCTCTACCAGGAGGCTCGGAAGATTGTGGGGGCCATGATCCAGGTAGACTGTGTCCTAACACATCTTGGCCATGTGTTCTTGGGCAGGTTTTTATCTCTCCTGAACACTGGCTTCTTTTATCTGTGATATTTTAAAGCTCAAAGGAGCTAAATGAGAACGCCCAGCAGACGTGACATACTTGACAAGTGCACTTCCCTTCCTCCTGTTTCCCCAGCCTCTTCCTTCACGAGGATCTTTTACCCACTGTCATCATCTTGAGCATTTTCTCCCCTGAGGCAGTGCTCCTGCATTTGGTTTGTGATGTTTCCATGACTTGTATTTTCCCAAGAATGTAAACATTCTTGTACATCACACACACACACACACACACACACGCACGCACGCATGCACGCACGCACGCACGCCTTTGCTAGACTTCAGGGAGAGAGGAGAGGGTGCTGAGGGCGGGGGTTTTTGATTTATACTCACATCCACAAGTGAAATTCATTTTAGTCTCAGAAGCAGTTCTAGCCTTGGACCCAGAGTGACACTGCCTCACAGCCTCCTTTTCACTGAGGACATCACACCGGAACAGACTTCTGCCCTCCATCTGTAAACCTGTAATGAGCCCCTACTGTGTGCTAGGCTATTGCTGGATACTGTGGATAATCTCAGTAATCTCAACTTCCCTGGCTCCCAAGGAGAAATGAGACCACTGATACCTTAAAGGCAAGAGAGACATTACAATGACTAACAAGACATTTTGTTTAGTCCCTTGAAAGAGAAAGTAATATAATTATTACTATTTACATTTATTACTCTGAACCACTGTGGTTCAGAGAGTTTAATAAATGACCCGAGCCAGCTCTATTTATGTCCTGTTAAATTCAGGTCTAAGACTATGGGAGACAAGCCCCTGATCCTAGCCAGGTAGGGGCAATTCCCCCAAGCTGGAGACCACAGGGAGGAACAAACAGACATCTAAAGCAAAGTCACTTCATTCTAGATCATCACATACCGGGACTACCTGCCCTTGGTGTTGGGGCCAGCAGCCATGAAGAAGTACCTACCCCAGTACCGATCCTACAATGACTCAGTAGATCCTCGAATCGCCAACGTCTTCACCAACGCTTTCCGTTACGGCCACACCCTCATCCAACCTTTCTTGTTCCGCCTGGACAATCAGTACCGGCCCACAGGGCCCAACCCCCGTGTCCCACTCAGCAAGGTCTTTTTTGCCAGCTGGAGAGTCGTGCTGGAAGGTGAGCAACAGAACCTGAGAAAAGCCAGCAAGCAGCTGAGGATGGGATGGTGTGGGCTTGGCTTCAGGGAGAGATCTTTTCTCATCTTTGGGCATCTAGTCTCGCTTTCCAGTTTCACTGACCCAGAAAGCTAGAGCATCCCAACTTCGTGAACCCTCTGTCAAAGAGTGCCTGGAGATGACTGGTCTCTGTGGCTGCCTTGGCCCCAAGTGTTGCATGTGCTTATAGCTTCTCTCTGATCCCTACGGTTCCACTTGGACCAGCCCTGACTCCACTGTGTGCTCTTGTAGCAAGATAACCTTTCCTTTCACTTCCGTCTCTTGACCTCAGGTGGCATTGACCCCATTCTCCGAGGCCTCATGGCTACTCCTGCGAAACTGAATCGCCAGAACCAGATTGTGGTGGATGAGATCCGGGAGCGACTGTTTGAGCAAGTCATGAGGATAGGGCTCGATTTGCCTGCTCTTAACATGCAGCGTAGCCGGGATCATGGTCTCCCAGGTGAGAGGCCAGCCTCAGCTCCATCCCACCTCCCTGGAAGCTCCCTTTCTTGCTCAGGACCTCTTTTCCAGTTCTCAGACAGCACCCGAGGCCCTGTCTTTTCTAGGCCCCTATGGCCAAAGTTCAGCCTCTCCCGGCTTTTTCACAAGCTGGACTTTCACAACCTGGGTAGCATCCCAGGATCTGGAACTCTGTCTCCATCATCAGCTCATTCTGACTAATTCATGAACCCGGGGGTGGGAGAGTACCACAGTCGTTTTTACTGACGAGGAAACTCGGACTTAGAGCAGTTCGGAGCTTGGCTGGGTGAGAGACGTGGAGACTGGACCCAAATGGATCAGCATAACCCAAAAGCCCCATGGCTGTGTTGTGGAGTAGCACAAGTGGCCACACCCCCGGGAAACATTTTCACTCTCTGAGTCAGAGACAGATACATTAGGCTGCTGCTCTAAGGGACAATGTGCTGTTTCCATACTTGAGTCTGGTGGGATTTGTGGTACTACAGGGCTTGGCAGGGTAGGAGAGAGAGAGGAAAAGAGTGAGAGGTCTGGAGGGACCCAGCTGTCCACTTTGGCCTGAGCCAATCACTTAGGGATCCATTCTGCTTATGGCCTTGTGCACTGAGATGGGCTTTTGAACATCTGTGTAGCTCTTTTCCTGTTCTTCCCAGTACTCTTTCTACCCGGGAGGAGAGGGGTCCATTTACAGCTAACTGTTCTCTGACCCAACGCAGGATACAATGCCTGGAGACGCTTCTGTGGGCTTCCACAGCCCAGCACAGTGGGTGAACTCGGCACGGTGCTGAAGAACCTGGGACTGGCACGGAAGTTGATGGCACAGTATGGCACGCCCAACAACATTGACATCTGGATGGGCGGTGTGTCTGAGCCCCTGGAGCCCAACGGCCGCGTAGGTCAGCTCCTTGCCTGTCTCATTGGCACTCAGTTTAGGAAGCTACGCGATGGAGATCGGTAAGCAAGCTGTGGGAAGGCAGGGCGCCACGGGAGAGGACGCATGCGCACCACAGCAGTCAGGCGGAGCTTAGAGGACAACTTAAATGAGTTGGTTCCACCAGGTCTAGTCCAGGGAGGGTAGTCAAGTTCTCAGCCTTGGTGGTACGTGCTTTTGCTCATTGAACCATCTTGATGGTCCCAAAAATGTCACTCTTAATACGTTCTCTGGGTTTCTCAGTGCTACTATGGAGGCGTCAGTTACCATGGAAAAGTTCCAAAAGTCTCCCGCTGACCCCCTTTCATGTCATTTCATCGCGATCCTGGCATCTCCATGTCTAGTTCTTACCTAACTTGCATTACACCTTTGGCAATATTGTAAAAGGGTATCCCAGGCAAGGAGAGCAAATCACAAATGCCACCCAGACGTTCTTTTACCCTTGTGGGTTCGTGTATCAGACTGGGACCCAAGCAGCTGAGCGTCTGTCTTCTGGGCTGAGTGGGCACTGCCCACGACCTGAGCTCTCCTGTGCTGTAGATATTCTTCTGTGGCCTTCTCACATTCGCGGGGTTGGGGGGTGGGGCAGCTCAAGCCAGGTCATGTCCTGGGTATCCTCAGCCCAGGGTGTCCTCACTCGGGACATCCTCAGACATAATGTCCACGATGCTCCCATGCAGGTTTTGGTGGGAGAACCCAGGTGTGTTCAGCACACAGCAGAGACAGGCCTTGGCCAGCATCTCCTTGCCCCGTATCATCTGTGACAACACTGGCATCACCACTGTGTCCAAGAACAACATCTTCATGTCCAACTCATACCCCCGAGACTTTGTCAGCTGTAACACCGTTCCTAAACTGAACCTGGCTTCCTGGAAGGAGGCCTAGAGGCTGGGTAAGGTCATGACACACTGAAGGGTATACCCTGGTGGGCTAGTGGGAATCTCAGAGAACTCTCTTCCCTGAGTGAATCCATCTTTGTGGATACTGTGGGTGCCAGTGGGGGCGGGGAATGACTGGACATTCACTTGTGAGTGCACAAGTATGTTTGCATATACACTTGTGCACATCTATGTATATGCAACATATGTAAATTAGTATGCCATGTGTGCATCATCTGTGAGCATGGGCAATGATTGTCGTGCCTTGTGTGCTTGTCAAGCACATGAGTCTGGGCTCACTGCTTATGACAATATTAAGAACGTGAGAGGCAGTGAGCAGACAGCTCGAGTTCAAGTAATCACTCTGTAGCATGGTACTGTGTGTGACTTTGGCCAAATGACTCTACGTGTAAATTCTCTTCCTTATAAATAAAAACAGCCGTGGCTTGTTAGAGGGCCTATTGCCTCCTCCAGCTCTCTACTCATTGGGCAGCTACCAGGTACTGTGCTAGCCACGGGAAACAGAAGCAATAAAGATGAATACCAAAGATGAATGCCAAATCCTCGATCACGTTCTGGCTGGCAGAAAAAAAGGCATTGGCCTCTGGAGGGGAGGATGCAGTTAGCAGTTGGGCTGTGTGGTTGTGACACAGTCCTAGGCCAGCCTGGCTCAGCTAGTGGTTTCTCCTCCTCCCTTACTCTGTTCTCTTGCTATTCACAGGGGTCTCCCAGGAGAGGAACGGAGGTCATTGGCCTTTCTGTGCTATTTGTACCTGAGATTCACACTAATAAAACATGGTGGATGAGCTCTTGTTCCATGTCTGTGAAGGGGCTGCACCTTCAGTGGGAGGTTCTCCCTGGTCTGAGAACTTGAGCCAGTGTGGTCTGTACCTCAGGGTGTTTCTAGGCTGATGATTGTGCTGGGGTACCCTCCTTTGGCTATTCCATATGTGGAGGGCAGCTTGCTCTTAGAAGCCTTGGGGCCAAGCCACACTAAGCAGACCCTCATCCCTCACGGACATCCTCCACCGCTCTGTGGAACGGGAATGTGGCCACAAGCCCTGGTATTTGTTCATTGTTCTGGCATTTGCTGACTGCATGCTCATTCTGTGTCAGTCTCTGAGAAGGGGAGGGGACAGAATGCTAGCCAGTGAGAGCAAAAGCTGAGGTCTGGTGGGAAGGCTTTGCTGAGAGAATAGAGGCCTCTGTGTCTCTGCAGACTAACACAGTGAGTGGCCCAGGGACCCTCCAGGGGACAGATGCCTCCTTATTTCAGGCTTCCAGTGATCAGACCCCAGTGTCTGGGAAGGGGAGGGCTGTGTCTGGCCAGTGGTCTTGTAAGGAGCTGGTCCATAGTGGATTAGCAGACTCTGTCTTCTCCTTTCCTGTCTTCTCACTTATGAGGAGTGGGGACCCCCCCCCCCACCGTGGGGGGAGCTAAAGGTAAGAGAACGGTGAGGTAAAGCCAGACCCTCGCTGTGGAGAGCTGCAGGACCAGTACCTCTCATGATTACCTCACTGAGTGGGGAGGGGTGTTCACAGAGGCAGAGCCTCATCCAAGACTGGTGAGGAGGGCTGCAGAACAGGGCTATGAGCAAGGACTGTCCTTAGCAACCTTCATAAGACGAGGGAATGACTTCCTGACTGGTTTTACCTGTAGGGTAAGTTTTGCCCCTGTGATGCTGGTATTGAACTTAGGACCTTGTATATGCTAGGCGAACACTACCACTGAGCTCCAGCTTCAGACCCCTTTTTATTTTGAGACAAGATCTTGCTAAGTTGGCCAGGCTGACTTGCTCTGTAGCATGGGTCAATCTTGAACTTCTGAGTCTCCTGTACCATCAGGCCTTGAAAGGGTAAATTTAATCAACTAGTTAACCAACTGATCATTTCATTAACTAGCTAGTTAATTTCTGTGGTGCTAAGACTGAGCTCAGGGCCTTGTACACTGGAGGCCTCTTCATTTTACTATTTATTCATTTCTAGAGTTTTGTTTATGGGTATGGATAGTCTGGCTGCAGTATCCCTATGTGCCACACGCATACAGTACTCTCAGAGGCCAGAAGAGGGCATAGGATCCTCTGGGACAGTTGAGAGCAGCCTTGGGAGTGTTGGGAATTGAACCAGGATCCTCTGGAAGAACAGCCAGTGCTCTTAATCACTGGTCCATCTCTCCATCTCTCCATCTCTCCAGCCCCTGGAGCATTTTTTGTTTTTTTGTTTTTTTAAGAACGTCAACCCGGTCATAAGTACAACCCAGCATGAAGGAGGCTGGAGTTATCTAAATTTAGGAGGATGGGGTTACTCTGCACTACATAACTGTTCTAGGCCCACCTAAAATATAAAGTGAGACCCTATGAACCAAATTAAAGAATGTATGAGTACACATTGGGTCACAGCCCAAGGAATGTTCTGGAACTGCCTCCTCAGACACTTCAAGGGTTCCGAGAACTGCTCAGGAAGAAGAGATCGATTGTAGTTCCTGGGAAGTCCAGGCTTGCTTACCCTTGGTACCCCAGAATAGTGTCACCCCAAGTTCATGCTCTCACTACCTGTGTGATATTATTCACTCCCTTATCCCCACCCCGACCCCAGCCCCTCGACCCCAGCCCCCAACCAGAAGTCCCTTGCCTCCTCCCTGCTTTGAGAATTCTTGACTCTCCCACTCGGTTACTAGGCTCCCTTGTCAGACTGATTGATCCCCAGGACCGCTCAGCAATAAGACACAGCTGGACTATAAACATCTAGTTACTCATGTGCAGCCTGCCCCTAGGACGGGACAGTCGGACGTTTATTGAGCACTTTGTGTGTTGAACACCATGCTAAGTGTCACAAACCATACTCACAAGGTAGGCTGAAGTCTCTGGCTCAGGACGCTTATGATCTAGTCTGGGAGGATGGGAGGAAACATAAGAGTCAAAGGTCACAGCCCCAGCCAGGGCTCATTCAGGGAGAGGGTAGGCGATGTCTGACAGGCTGGAAGGACATCTTAAGAAGCCTAAGTCTCGTCAGGCTGAGAGGGTGGCGAGGGTAGTGACAGCTGAGTGGATGGGCTGGAAAGGTTGAGGCAGGCTTTAGCCTTGGAATCCAACTTGAAAGGAGTAGGTCATTGAAATTGTTTGAAATGGCATCTTGGACCACGGACATGTGCACTGTAGGAAGCTGTGGGCAGCGGGTTCCTACTCCTTCACTGAGGCCCAGGGTGAGAGGTCCAGCTTATCAATTGAAGAGCAGTCCACAAAGTCATGGGGGTAGGTGTTGGCATGGAATGGATTCAGCGGGACCTTGTCGATGCCAGTGTTGTCACAGACGAGGCGGGAGAAGGACATCTTCTGCAGAGACTCCTGTTGTTTCTCTGTGAAGACCCCAGGGTTCTCCCACCAGAACCTACGAGGACACAGCAGGGTCATTTCACACAGTCCAGTGGCTAGCTCTTCCCCACACTGCCAGAGGACATTCTTGGGAAAGGGGTGCTCTATGGTGAGGTATGGAGTCAGACCTCGTGAAGAACTTTGGGGACCCCCGCATAAGGGAATGGATCCTCCTGCCCCGTAATGGTTTCACTTGCCTGTCTCCATCTCGGATCCGCTGGAACTGCTGGCCCAGGAGACAGGTCAAGAGAGGCCCTACCCGACCCCCATGGACCAGGGGTTCAGCAATGGCCCCTAGCCAGATATCAATGTTGCTGGGCGTTCCGTAGAGGTCTAGCAGTTTCTTGGCCAGCACCTCGTTTTCCATGACAGCACTCAGCTCCTCTAGTGTCTTTGGCTGGGACAGGCCACAGAAAGCTCTCCAGGAGTTGTACCCTAGGGGAGGGAAGATAAGGCTGGCTCACCTCAGGAACCTCTCACTTCAGTTTTCCCTTGGGGATGTACACTACCTCCAGAAGCCTGGAAAGTCTGGGACTTTTAAGACAAGGAAAGTATAATACATTGCCTGTCATCTGTGGCACTTCAGTCTGGGGGAAGACTTGTGGCTTACTGAAGTGGAAACTTCTAGTTTCTTTGGTAAGTTATGTCAAATGATGTTTTGCTGAGGCACACAGGTGAAAGGATGTCTTGCTAGAGCAAACACGTGAAAGACAGTTTTCCTGAAGCAGACACAGGTGAAAAGATGTTTTGATATAGCAAAGACATGAAAGGACCTTTGATGAAGGAGTACAGGACCCCACAGACAGGGGGAGAGGAGCACGGAGCCTTGGTTCAGTTTGCTCGGCCTCACTATTCTTTGCTTAAAGACACTCGTGTATTGGTTCACCTTACATAGTGTTGTTGAGCTCGACTTGTGATAATGCCGCCGTTGAGAGAAACTGTTCAAGAGGTTCCTGGAGCAGCTTGCCACTTCAGTGGCCTCATCCCAGGCTGGTTGACAAGCCTGGTAGTTTCTTCAGGATTGAACTACAGCTGCTGGTTTGTGTCTGGTGTCTGCCTGCCTAGAGGACTTGTCTGCAGTTGCTCAATCGTATTTGGTGTTTGCTACAGGACTGAACTGCTGCCCAAGAAGATCAAGCTCGCCCCCAACTGAACAGGTTGTGGACCTGCTGAACAGGTCCACTTCCCCCACATCCTGATAATTCTTTTCTTCTGTTACCTCTTCTGGGTGGTGGGCTAGAGGAGAGGTTGAACCCTTATTAAAAAGTAGATTGCAGGGCTGGAGAGTTGGCTTAGAGGTTAAGAGCACCAGCTGCTTTTCTGGAGGTCATGAGTTCAATTCCCAGCACCACATGGTGGATCACAACCATCTGTAATGGGATCTGATGCCCTCTTCTGGTGTGTCTGAAGACAGCAACAGTGTACTCACATACATAAAATAAATCTTAAAAAAAAATAGGTTGCAAAATTTTTATGCCTACAGCTTCCTATGGGTCCAGCTACTATTCCAGGAACCATGCGTACAAACAAGGGCAAAGCTTTTAAGCTTGCCTCCAGTCCTATAACCAGTGTGATTGTTAACACTGATTGTCAACGTGACAAGAGCTAGAAAACCCTAGGAGGCAAATCTCCGGGCATGCTCATGAAGGAGCTTCTAAATAGGGTTAATTATAGTGGGAAGCCCCGCCCTGAACATGAGCAGCTCCAGCCTGTGGGTCTGAACACGGACAGGAGGGAAGCTGCAACATCATCCATCCGTCTCTGCTTCCCGACTCAGCTGCCTCATGCTCACGACACCATGCCTTCCCTGAATGATGGGCTGTGTAATAACACCAGATGTGTATTCACAGCCCTGCATTAGGAAAGCAGAAGATTCCATTTCCTGGATGTCTTATATGGGTTTTAAAATGGGATTTGCCTCTAACCTGAGACCACAGGGGCTCACAGAGGTCAAATTGCCAAACAGGGAGCCTGCATGGGCTGGACCTAGGCCCTCTGCACATATGTAATAGTGTGGTAGCTTGGTCTTCTTGTGGGACCCCTAACAGTGGGTGCAGGGGCTGTCTCTGACTCTGATGCCTGCCTTTGGGACACTTCCATTTACTGGGCTGCCTTGTCCAGCCTTACTAGAAGAGGAGGTGCCTAGTGTTACTGCAACTTGATAGGCCATGGCTGGTTGATATCCATGGAGGCCAGCCCTTTTCTGAAGAGAAACAGAGGAGGGGTGGGTGGGAGGGGAGAGGTGGCAGGAGGGACTGGGAGGAGAGGAGAGGGGGAAGCTGCAGTCAGTGTGTAAAATAAATAAAAGAAAAATTAAAAAAAAATTAAAAAGCCTCTAGCTTCAGGATTGATTGTCCCCTGGGTTCCAGAGGAGAGTGTCCAGGAGCCCCAGAAAGTAGCCAAAAAACTCTCCAGACCAGGTGAGACCTCAGACCCACTCACCAGGCTGTCCGTGGTCTCTGCACCGCTGTATGTTGATGGAAGCCAGGTCGAAGCCATGGATGGTGTGAGTTGGCTGGAATAGCTTGTTTCGAAGCTCCCCTGTCATCATTTTGTTCTGATGCATCAACTTGGCCTTTTTGGCCAGCAGGCCTCGAACCAGAGGATCAATTCCACCTGCAGAGGGACACCAAGAGGCCATCCTTAGGATAGGACTAGGGTGAGGGCATCATCCATGCTGGGTCCTCTCTGCTCCAGACACCTTCTCTCAACAGGAAATGGGAAAGACTAGGAAATGTGTCTACCTGGGGACAGAGAGAGAAGAGGAGGGCACAGTGCAGTCTGCCCTTGTGCCAGGGTAAGAGGAGTCCAGGCTACCCTTTCTGAGGTGACAGGAAAGAGTACGCATAGGCTGATGTATGAATGAATACCCGGAGGCTTTTCATGTTCGAGATCACGGAGTCAGCGCCTTTGTTTTCCACCCATTCCCCCGGGAGGAAAAGGGACAATATATCTTGAAGAAACAGCTCTGACCGGTTAAGGTTGAAGGAAAGTCAAATTCAATCTATGATACCTCACGGCGGTAGGAGGTTCTAGAACAGAACAATTTACCCACCCCACAAACTCTCTCTTCAGGGTTCAGGGAAGCCCAAGGTAGGAAATGGCAGAGGAATCCCAGCCCTGGGAAGCTGGACGGAGGAAGTGACTTGTATCCACTGATCACTCCTTGGGTCTTAGGAACCACAATAGGATACCTTACACATCAATCTCATTTCAATTGATATCCTGGCAAGCTGGGCACTATTATTACCCTTATTTTACAAACAGGGATATGAAGACTCAGTAAGATGAATTCCCTTCCCCAGGACCACACAGGAAGTGTATGGAAGATGATCTCCACACCAGAAGTCCCTACAAGCTGCTCGAAGAAATGAGAGGGCTCAGGCAAGAACACGTCCCTAAAAAAGACTCACCATCTTTGACCAGCCTCCAGGTGTTGAAGAAGACAGTGTGCAGGGGGAGCTCAGGTTCTGAACCCCACGGCTGGTAATTCTCATCCAGACGAGACACAGTGGAGGGGATCTCCAAGTGGCCGAAGCGGAAAGCAAAGGTGAAGACATTGGAAACTCGGGGGTCTACAGACTCATTGTAGCCTTGGTACGGGGGAATCCACTTCTGCATCTCATCGCCCAGTACGATGGGTAGATAGTCCCTAAAGGTGATAATCTGGAGAGAGAAAGGGGTCGTGAGGAAAGGATGTGACAAGGTGTGAGCTTCTGCAGTGGGAGGCTGGAGAGAAATTGCTGCCCAAGAGGATGCCAAGTGGGTAGCGTTTGTACCCGGTGTCCATTCCTACGGCCATGGCAGACATTGCTAATCAATCATGGCATTCTTTCAGCTATTTCTCATTCTGTCTCCACATTGGTTATACTAATTGATCATTTCAACCTGATGCTTTAGCAGCAAGAATTCTGACTTTATTATTTTATACAGCAATAGGTTATCTTAATAATTAAAAATAGTCGTGTGAGTGTGTATGTGGTTTCTGGTTTTAGAACAAGGTGGTGTAGTCTTATTTTTCTTTCTCCTCTCTAATCACCGTAACTAAACATCCTGGAAATTATTCAACAGGAAATAATAAAAGGACTTCAAGCTTGTGTGGTGATACATATCTATAATCCTAGCATTCCAAAGACAAGAGGTTTGCAATTTGAGGCCAGCCTGGGCTCCATTGTGAGGCTGCTATTTCCAACTCAAACAACCCTAAAACAACAACAGCAATAACAAATGACATAGATCACCACATCTGTAATCCCAGTCCCGGCGGTGTGACGGCATGAGGGTCAGGAGGTCAAGGTCAGCTTTGTGAGTTTAAGGCCAGCCTGAGCAACATAAGACCCAATAACACACATACACACACACATACACACACACACACACAGAGAGAGAGAGAGAGAGAGAGAGAGAGAGAGAGAGAGAGAGAGAGAGAGCGCTTAGAGGTTATAAGAGTCCTCCTCGAGAACCTGAGTTCAGTTCCCAACACCCATATCAGATGGGTCATAGGTATCTGTAACTCCAGCTCCTGGGGATCTGATATTTGCTTTGATCTACACACACAGACACATAAGTTAAAAATTCAAAAAGACTCTGAAAACTAGAAAAAGAATATGAACTGTCTGGGGGCCCCAGAACTTGGAGAATTGGCAATGTGGTAAGTCCTACATACTCCCAGATTGAACTGGATGCACAAGAGTCTGGCAGCATGAAAGCTCAAAAAAAAAAAAAAAATGCTTACTTTCTCTTTCCAGAGACCAAGGGCCAGGGAAATCCAACACCGACTAGCAGAGAGCCCCAATCCTTGCCTCAGCCCAAGTCCTCAGCCCTGGCCAGCCCTGCCCACTCCTCAGTCCAGGCTGTGGGCGATCTCAGCCTTCTGTGGGAGCAGTGGAGCACTGTGTCTATTTCTTCTCACCCTTGGTTCTTCACCAAGGAGACCTGGGCACCGTGGCTTCTGCTTCTCTAGGAGGTTGCTTAGCAACAACAGGCAGCCAGGAAAAAACAAAAACAAAAAAAACCCCAAAAAACAAAAACAAAAAAACCCCCAACATTTTGGTGCCCTTAAGACAGACCTAGCAGGATTGGAGTGGGAAGTTCAGATGCCCTGGAAGAGCAAAGCAGACCCAGAGGAACACCAGAAGAGCTCAGAACCAAGCTGTTACTGGAACAGTGACAATGGCAGACTAGAATCTAACCAGGGGAACCACAAACTAGAAAAAAGATTCAGATAGAACTAAAATCACTAAAGTATTCAGTACTACCAAGGACCTGGAAAGCCACATCTTGAGTGAAAAAAGACCGACTGAGGGCAACAGCAACAGGGACCCGGTGGAATTAGCTCACCTGTCTGGGATTCCCAGAAAAAAGCTGGGCATGGTAGCATGGACTTGTAATCTCAGAGCAGGGAAGGCAGAGGCAGGTCCATTCCTGGAGCCTGTTGGCCAGCCAGCCTAGCCTACTTTGTAAGTTCAAAAGTAAAGCGTATATTTGGCTTTCTGGAGAAATGACACAGGAGATGCTGTCCTCTGGCCTCCACATACACTTATGTAGATGCATAGCCAAAGCCCCATGTGCACAACCCACACGCACACAGACAAACACATAGATATTTACTTATTTGCTGCAGTATTTCAAAGTGAACCCAGATCCTCGACTGTGCTAGGGTAAGCACCCTACCACTGAGCTGCGCCCCAACCCTACAGTCAATACAGGTTCAAAATTCCTCAATTGATTATGTATTTTTCTGAAACAAGTGTCGGGACATAGGAAACATCTCAGCAAAGGAGTGGAAATTAAAAAAAAAAAAACCTGTGGAATTGAAAGTACACCACTTGACATAATAGTAGTAATAACAGCAATAAGATTGAATCCATCCAATTGTAGAGTAGAAACGGCAGAGGCTAGAATCAGGAAAGGTCAGTAGATGTCACTAATCTGTACAAAAGAGAGAAAGGAGGTGAATGAAGAACTTCCAGGAAGTGGGTGGTGGTGGCTTTAATCTCAGCACTTGGGAGGCAGAGGGAGGCAGGTCTCCGAGTTCAAGGCCATCGTCGTCTACAGAGTGAGTTCCAGGACAGCCAGGGCTACACAGAGAAACCCTGTCTCAAAAAACCAAATAAGAGGAGAAAGAAGAGGAGGAAGAGGAAGAAGAGAAAGAAAGATAAATAGATGGATAAATAAATAAATAAATAAATAAGAAAAGAACCTTCAGTAAACTAGACCCTAAGGATTCTACAGGACAATAATAAAAGATCTAACTTTTAACAAGTCAGATATGGTGTTGGATGCCCATGATCTCAGAGTTTGGAAGGTAGAAGCTGGGGGATGAGGAGGTCAAGGCCAGTCTGAGCTAAATGAGACCCTGTCTTAAAATCAAACCACAACACACACACTCATACTCATGTACATTCATGCACACTCACACAATACATGCACACACACTCACACTCACACAAACATTCACATAACACACACTTATACACACTCACACAATACACTCACACACTCACACACTCACACTCTCTCATACAACACATACTCACATAGACACACTCACATAGACACATACACATACACACACACACACACACACACACACACACACACACTTGACCCTTCTAACTCTTTCAGTTAGCTGATAAAGCAATCTAAAATCAAGTATGCCTATGGCATGTAGTTTATATAGAGAGAATTCAAAAGGAAGAGAAGTCAAAAATAGCTCCAGTCATTGCGAGGGAGCAGCCCCATGAGTGAGAGAAGCTGTAGGCTCAGTGATGACGACAGGACAGGCCCACGGAGGCACGTGTGGACAACTCCCCACATTCAGAACGTGGGGATACATTTATAAACAGAGCCTATCAGACACTTGGAGAGAAGCACAGAAGGAGGAGCAAGGAAGAAGAACATTGAAACAGGATTTGCGGCTGGAAGTGACTAACAGAGCCGAGATGGCCAACCCCACCTCCATACCTGTATGAAGGCTCCCATGATTTTCCTAGCTTCCTGATAGAGCGTCTCTCCGTCCCAGTGAGGGTTGAGTCTGCTTAGTTCTCTGGCTAACCGGTTGTGCTCCCGGATAAAGAGTGTGTGAGATGTGGCCAGCAAGATCTGCTCTGAGGCTCGGGAGTCTCCTAAAAGCCCAAAAGACAGGAAGATGCATTCTCCCTGAGCAGAGCCAGGGACCTGCACAGAGAAAGATGGTACCCACCCAGTCTCTCTCCCAAGCCTCTCCTTCAAGGTCGACTAAGGAAAGTCAGGTGGAGAGGGTCAGATGGGTGGTGAGGAATAGTGTACAATTATGGATTGTGCCACCAAGCTTGGCTAGAACAGCCTGTGACAGAGAGTACTAGAAAGGTTTATATTAAAAACGTGAATAACCAATCCTGGTGGATAATGGGGTCATGGGATTTTTTTTTCCCTGAACTTCCTTCTTTTCTTCTACAGTGAATGCTTGTTCTTTGATCAGGCCCTTACTCTACTCCTGGTTTAGTGTTACAGACAGGGGTGACTTGGGGGCATTTTCCTGGACAAATGCTGAGATGGAACAGCCTCCTTCAATGATCCCCTTGTCCCTTAGACCCTCTTTTTTCCTCCCAGGCTAGACTCACCTGCCAAGAAGCAGGGCACACCAGCTGTGGCATTGATGACCTCACAGGGGCTGGGTTTCACTTTGACAAAAGGCGGGAAGGGCCGTCCATGGTCTGAGACTTCTTCATTGACAGCCATGAGGCCCAAGGGGCTGCTGAGGTTTCGGAGTCTATTTGCCAGGCTCGGCTCGGGGCCATACACTAGGCTAGCATCCAGGAAAGGGGTTAGAGCATTGATTTGCTCTCGGGCCAGGGACTGGTAGGGTGATGTGGGGCAGACAAATCCGGCTCGGAAGAAAGGCATGCATTTCCCCTGAGTCTTCAGTTTAGGGTCACCAGTTGGGAACTGCAGAGAGATGGGTTGGGGATGGTTACACAGCATATCTATGCCCGGGCAATTCTTCCCAGGGTCAGTCTGGAGGAAAAGATGCTCATGGTGGCCTTCTGGGACTCTTGCCCTAGATGCCTCCTGATGACAATACACTTCCCGGGCCCATGACACTCCAGAGTTCATTATATCATGATGCACAAGAGCGGAAAGCCATGATTCATTCTTTCACAGTAAGCGCTCAGAAATGGCAGAGAGGATTTCGGGAGAGCCCTAAACTGGCAAGCAGTACATGAGATTTAATAATTACTACCGAAATATCAACCCTGGAACTGCCTCGCACCAGCCTCTCGCTATGCATATTTCATCTCATTCTGGCCCTCTGAGAGCCTGTGAGTCAGAGCGCCGAGCCCTTTACACTTTAGAGAACGGTCTCAATTGGTCCACAGGTTAACTTGTCTCAGCACCCACAAACTAGGAGGGAAAGATGTAAGACTCGGTCTTGGACTCAGCCCATGGTTCAGATTTTTTATACCACAGCACAGATTCTTGATTTGTTTGAGTGAATAAATGACTAAGTAGGAAATCTATGGTTAAGAAGAGACCACTGCAAGCCGCTCTCTCCTGCTCTGCTGCCGGACACTCCCCGTTCTTTCCTTCGCTGAGTCACTACTTTCAGCTCCTAGGAACAAAAGTCATCCTCCAGGGAACGTACATAGTTCCACAAACTAAGTACAAGATGACTCCCTTGGCCAGAAGGGGGCTAAGTGGGACAAATGCTTGTGTTTTGATAAAAATGTAAACTGTATCTCCTAACACCTGACGGGGTGGGGGTGGGGTTTGCGGGGCAGTGAGGCTTGAGTTTGCCTTTCTAATCAGCCCCCAGGAGACTCAGAGCCTGTTGGGTGGGGGTGCAGACAACCCTTCACAGAGTTCCCCGTTCTGTCAATAGCTCACGAGCTCACTTTCATGTCAGCCTTTTGTCCTCACCTTTGAATCCCCAGTGCTTGCTGCACTCCCTGACAGAATACCGTTACTGTCTAATTACTGAGTGGATGGTTGAGCATCCAAAGCTATCAAGAGATCCCGCTCTTCGGGCTGGGAATGTGTGCTACATGGAAACTGCAAGGGACACATGACCCACGGATAGTGGACAGGGACAACTGTCTGGCTGCAGAGGCCTACCATGATGGGGAAGCAGTTGTCTCCCTGGAGACAGTGTTCATCACACTGGGCTTTGGTGTAGTTATCACTCCCCATTTCAGTTTCAGGGGCAAAGTCCATGTCATGGTCCACGATTTGACCCCACTGCATGAACAGCATGGATCTCTTTTGGTCCAGAACGTCCTCCTCATTCAGATAGGCAGCGATCTGGTTAGAGACTTCACGGGGCTGCACAAGGAGAATCAAGTTGGAAGAAAGCATGCTTTGAAAATTAAAATCCGACACCAGTTTGTTGAGGACCTATGATCCAGTCCCAAGAGGAGCTTGTGAGCTGCTGGGTGCATGATAACACTTTGTAGGTGAGGACATAGAACATTAGGGAGAGGCAAGCCGATGCTCTTGGTCCTGCAGCTGCAAGGGGGCAGGGATGGGATTGAACCTAGGTCTGTATGACTGACAGTAATCAAGTGGCCTTACTATGGAGAGGGAAAACAAAGACAAGCTGCTGCTGACGGCCTGTGACAGAAGTGCCAGTTTTCTGGATATGGGAAGAGGGACCCTGGGGACTGGCTGCCAGCTCAGATGAGGCCAACAGATCGGACCTACAGGAAAACGACAGCTGGTGCACTCCAGGGGCTGGGACAGGGTAGGCGCAAGTAGAATAGTGCAAGGAAACCATCTGCCTGGGAGACCAGGGTATCAGGCTTGTGACAGTTGGGACATGACCACCACCACCTGGCTGGGCCCCGGATTCTGCTGCCCTCTTGCGGCCGTTTGGGGAACATATCGCTCGGGTGCAAATCTTAATTTCCGTTGCGCCTCCCATTTTCCTTTTCAGAGAGCTGACGTACTTGCGTGTGGCTCTTTCCCTCCCATCCTCTACCCCACCCTTCTTTACCGGCGGGAGAGGGAAGCCATTCCGCGTCTTCCCCGGCGTCCACCCGTAGGGGAGGGAGAGCCCGTCCTCGTACTCTGCGGGCAGCCATCGAACCAGCGCCCTGTTGGCGGATCCCAGCGCTGGATTCTTCCTGAAACCCAGCAAGAAGGCTCTCAGCCTCGGCAGCTGGCCTCCTGGATTGCTGCCCTCACCCTGCCGCCCTTAACCTGAGCTCTGTGGGAGCTAAAGCAGATGTGGAGGAGGGGCCCTCTGCATTGTGAGGTTCTGAATTTCCCCAACCCCAAGACCTAGGACTTTCTGGAGTAGTGGAAAGGATCATTCCCAGTGGATCACAGTGGCCTCACTGGAGATACGTCCTCTCAGGAGCTGTGCCTGCAGTGTGTCCACAGGGCAAAGACGCTGGCTGCGGTGGTGGGTGTTAGGGTCACCTGTTGTTACAGTCTCCAGTGATGGTCCGGTAAGGGCTACTTATGTTACAAGTCACTGTTGGAGCAGGGGGGTCACAGCCAGCCTCCCAAGAGAGCGAAGTCAAGTCCAGGCCTTGGCCTGAAACAGAAGAGAACCCCGGATAGGGCCGAGGTCTGAGATACTGGCAACAGGCAAGGAATCAGACTAGAGATGACAGCTCAGTGTTCTCCAGAAGAGAGTACAAGTTTCATCTCTTGAGACATACTTCCAGCCAACCTAACTGACGCTGGAGGCTTCACCTACAGGAGAGAGAATACTGGTTTGGAGTAGGAAACCCTGTTTATTGATTTTGGCATTTCTTCTAGGCAGACGCCTTAAAAACCACTAACACACTGAACACAGATGTCCCTTCTCTATCAGTTGGCAATATAATCTTGTCACAAGGAGTTCTTTCATCTGCCAAAAGGGACGTCAGCTTAGCTGTCCCCAAAGGGCTGCTGAGGTCTGCCAGTATGCCCTTTGGATTTAAGAAGGGAAGCGGATGTGCCTTCCCACGTCAACAATTCCTAACAGCTCTTGATGGCCTCTGTTCTGTACTGATGATCCCTTCCTGTCTTTAGATGTCTAGTGAGTTTTCTTTACCTGTGACATTGGTGAGAAACTGAGTCAGTTTCTTTAGAGACTCCTCCCACACCTGCCCGCTTCGGATTGCTGTGCGTGTGCGGCCTTTAGCATGCTTGAGATAGTCTGAGAGAAGACGGGTGCTATGTACCTTGGTGATCATGGCCATCTTCAGCCTACAGAAGGAACCAAGGAGGACCATGAGCAGGCTCTGTAGAAGCATGTCAGTGGCTCAGGGAGAGGTGCAAGAGTGTGTGTACAGGGGAAAGCCCCAATTCTGAGGAGTAAATGTGGGCTCTCAGCAGCTTCCCCTTGTCTCTCCTGATGTTGTTGGAAAAACCTCTTCAGGGAGGAGAGAGCCACAGAGGCTGTGGAGCATTAAGTCTGACCTTAAGTAAAGCTGGTGGATGGACCAAAAGATTCCTGAGTTCCAAGTCAGAAGGCTGTACATGGCCTGACTATTAACTGGGCATTGTAAGACCAGCCAGGTCTTACAATGGATGAATCCAGACCTGAGAACCTCTGGTTTACTGCTGAGCCTCATACTCTAAGAATTCTAGAAGGAGGACCCACATGGGCCTCCAGTTCTGCCTGTGAATCTGGGCCTAGAATTGGTGTGGAGTCTGTGTCTGGAACCTAGCCTACACTGAACAGGAAAACTCAGCCTAGTCCTGTATCTTTTATGTGCAAAACATGAATCCGAAATGCCTTCTACTCTGAAGTCTGTGACAATTCAGAAAGGCTAGCGGCATGAGAGCCCTCTGTTGTCTCGCTGTGCCTCAGTTTCCTTGTGTGTAAAGTTCTATCTACAAGACCGCTATCTCCAAGTCTCTGAAATATGACTCAGATTCTCACAAACCCAGCCTTCTTGGTTGTGTTTAAATCACTGGTTGTAATGCCTGTCCTGTCCTTCACAGAATGCCATTAACTCCATTTAAAGTGCTGGTAGATGCCATGGTTTAGACCAAGGGACTATCTACATGAGAGAAAAGGCACAGGAGAGCTAGCCTCAGCTTAACCTCCCTAAAGAGAACCAGGATATAAGCCATGCTGTCTTTCGCTGCCTTAAAACAAAACCAACCAACCAACCAAAAACTCACAAGTTTTTACTAGTCAACAACTCTGGCTAGCCTGAATATGTAGACCAGTTCGGCCTCAAACTTACAGAGATCTGCCTGCCTCTGCCTTTTGAGTGCCAGAACTAAAGTCAAACAACATTACACCCAGCATTCTGCTGTTTTTATGAGACAGTATAGCTCAGTAGCCTGGGACTCAACTTTAAAGCCAGATACCTTAAGTGCAGGTTTGGAGCTCTCAGTGTAGCCCAGAGAATTTTTCCAGGTCTTTGAGTTGGTAATAGATTTCTTTGAGTACTCAGAAAAGTCCCCAGAGACAGGTCCCACTGAGGCACTGAGCTATTAAGGACAGGTGGATTCGCCACCCCTGTCTTTCCTGCTCCTCTCTCCACTCAGCCCTGTGGAAGAGTTGTTGGGGTGGGAGGAGCATCTCCTAGAATAAGGGAGAGAACCTCTGGGCTCTCCCTTGTCACCCTAGAGCCCAAGCACTTCAGAGCCAAGAAAGTCCGCTGCTTGGGACTTTGCCTCCTTAGACTGATCTTTGACTTCCCAAAATGATACTATTTCCAGAGGCTAAAAGCAATCTAAAAGTCACCAAAAGAGTCATGGGAGTGCTTTAAAGAGTCCCAGTCCTCTGCCTGGGGTAGATGGTGGCTTAGTCTGTTGATCCAGGCCTCCTCAGATCTATCAAAAGGGCTTCTGTGCTTCTGTGGGTACAGGCTCTAGGCTCACCCCTGTAGCCTTATTTGACACTTGTTCTTGAACCCTTGCCACTGCCTGACCAGAGTTCCCAATATTGTCACCAATATGCTGAACACTTGTCACTGGAGCCCCAAGCCTGGGCCACGTCAACCTAATGTGGATATGTGAAAGTTCCTCTCCCTTGCTCTGAGGTGGGACAGGTTCGGAAGTGCACCTTACACTCTAAGCTCTCTGTAGGTGGATGGTAGTGGTGGTGTAGTCAGGCTGAGGCCTTGTTGACCCAGACCTTGACCTCTTCCACCGTGTCATGGATGGTGACAGTTTTGGAAGTTGGGGCTTGGAGAGGGAAAACCAGGAAGCAGGGTATCAATTACCACTCCTTTGAGATGTCCTTTGGTTCTTGGTCCCCTACCCCCACCGTCACCCCAGCAGTCATTACCTCAAATCTCAAACCTGAGCAGGTAGAGGTTTGAAATTAGGATATGCTACAAGAGTCCTCTAAGCAGCGGTCCTCAGTCTTCCTAATGCTGCGACCCTTTAACCTTTTGCTTGAGAGCACTTCTTTCTCAAATTATCCGGACTGACTCCATGCCTATGGTTCTGTTTCTGAGAGCCTGACCCAAGTCAGACGATATTAGTTGAATGAAAACCTTTCTGAATCCGGCAAGTTATAACCAAAGGAAACCCTGGGCCACATGGAGGGAAGCGCTTATCAGATTATATTAGGTGTCCTCTCAAGGCCTCCTAGAAGCCGGGATTTTTAGAACTCGGAAACTATTGTTTCTGTTTGCTACGTTCCTAGTGGGGGGTGGAGAGTGGTGGAAATGCAAGTTTTATAATTGCGTTGGCTCACTGGCTAATTGAGGCTGGTCAAGGTGCACTTGTCACTAACAGGAAGCCTGTGAAGGGGAGTTAACACACACGAGTCTCATTTACCTGGCCCGGGAATCCAGGAAGGCCTTGTTGACCCAGACCTTGACCTCTTCCACCGTGTCACGGATGGCGACAGTTTCAGCAGTTGGGGCTTGGGGAGGGAAAAGCAGGAAGCAGGGTATCAATTACCACTCCTTTGAGATGCCCTTTGGTTCTTGGTTCCCTACCCCCACCCTCACCCCAGCAGCCATTACCTCAAATCTCAAACCTGAGCAGGTAGGGGTTTGAAATTAGGATATGCTACAAGAGTCCTCTAAGCAGCGGTCCTCAGTCTTCCTAATGCTGAGACCCTTTTATACCGTTCCTCATGTTGTGGTGACACCCTCACCATAAAATTATTTTTGTGACTACTTTATAACTGTGATTTTGGGTCTGTAATGAACTGTAATGTGAATATCTGGTTGCTGAGCATCTGATAGGCAACCCCTGTGAAAGGGTCGAATGGCCCTCACAAAGGGGTCGAGACTCACAGGTTGAGAACCACTGCCTTAAAGGGAGGTGATACAGAATGGGAAGTGACCTGCCTGTTCTTCAGCAAGATATCAAACTTGATCTATGGGACTCTGGTACAGTGTCCAGGAAGAGGACAATAGGACATTTAGTGTGACCTCTCAGCTTGGGCTACTTGGGATCTGGTGAGCCCATCAGTGTGTAGCTGATAGCTAGGACATGAAAAGAGAGATGTTCTCCTTGCTCTCCCTCAGGTTGGGGTGTGGAATATGAGAGGCTGCCCCTTTTCTCTGCAAGGAGACTGCAGTGGATTGGATAGTGTCCCTTTGGACCTTCAACACGTGACATTATTTTCAAATAAGCTTTGCAGATCTGATTCATTCAGATGAGGTGAACGTGAAGTCCAGTGACTGCTGGGTTTAGGACAGGACACACAAAGAAGGCATGTAAAAATTAGGGTAGCTACAAGTTAATGATATAAGAATACCTCAAGCCATCAGAAGCCAGGAGAGGCAAGGGAGCCTCTTCTTTTAGGGCCTTCAGGAGGAACATGGCCCTACCATTTACCTTTGTCTTGAATTTCTAGCCTTCCAGGCTGTGTAAGTATAAATCAGCATTGATTTCAACCACCCAGGTTATGGTACTTTGTCCAAGTCTTATTCCAAGAAACAAATACAGTATGACGCTTACCATTTCTGGCAGATGCTGCAGTCTGGAGCAAGGTCAGGGAAGCCAGGAGGGCCGGGAGATGCAGAAGCACTTTCATCACTGAAATGAGACCAGGGTCATGTACTAGGAACCTTAGTGGAGCCCCACTGAGAGCGACAGCATCTCAGAAAACAAGGAAATCCCAGGCAAACTCAGATGCCCTAGCCAAACAAACTCACGGTATCCACAGGCTGGGAGAGGCAGAAAGGTACAGGAGGGAAGGAGGCTTCAGGGTCTGAGGACCTGATATAGCACTGCACTTGCCCCACCCCATGATCTTGGGCAAATTTCTTAACACTGTCCTGGCCGTAAGGGGGCAGGGTCTAATGACCCAGGATGTCCCGTTGTGCCTGGGGAGCCTGGGCTTGTTATGTCACAGATAGGAGAAATGTTTTCAAGCTTTAGGGGTTCTCTTGCCTCCTTCAGAGAGCTTGCTTCCTGACAGCCAGGCTCTGCTGGGGTGGCACAGGGGAGGGGACACACCACACCTTTCCTCAGAAATTCCACAGGGCTTTCCCCTCCCTCAAAACTTAGGCTCTTGACCCATGGAACACCCACCTTTCCACTTCCTGCGCCATATCTGATTAGGAGACTTGGCTTCTCGTTTCTCCTTTACTTTGACACACACTCACACTCTCTCTTTCTTTGTTAAAAAGAGGAAGAAAGAATTCAAGGCCAAAGCTGAATTATTTTCTGTGACATGGCCATGTTCCTGACTGGTGTGATGGAAGGGTGTGGGGCGGAAAGCAGAGCCAGGAAAATGTGGGGTCCTGACGCTGGAAAACAGATGAACTGCAAAAGTCTGCAAAAGACATTGTCTGCAGTTGAAGGCAGCCTGGGTAAAGCATACAAAATACTGAGATTCTGTGATGTTTAAGGCGATTATCTGCCTTCTTAGCCTCACATTCAGTTTAGGCATGTCCCAAATTCTCAGTTTTCATCGTTCCCTGTGACTCAAAGCATGCTCTGAAGAGAGATCCACAGCCTCTTCTCCTCCTGTGTCTGGGGAGGGGAGGGGAAGATAGAGGAAAGCGCAGACACACCACCATGCCTCTTCTCAAGCCACATCTTCTCTGCCTCATCAACTCCTGGGTGCTTTCAAAACCCCAGCCAGATATCCTCTTCTTTGTGACATTTAATGGGGTTTCTCCAGGCAAAGTTAGGCTATTCCCATCCAGTCCTACCTTGGTATTTTACTCTCGTCTTTTCATGCCTGTTTTTCAAATGAGGCCACAAGTTCCTGGACGCCAATAACTTATTTAGTGTGTGTGTGTGTGTGTGTGCTCAGCATTGGTACAGACTAACACGGAACACATACTGAGTAAGTGACAGAGAGGAGAGGTTTAACTTCTTGAGTTTGTATGGGGTCAGCTGATAAGCTCTTAGTCAGGTTCCCATACTGTAGTGTGTGTAAGAATCATCTAATGATCTTGGAAGAGTACAAACACTGGTTTAGCAGATAGTGGAAGGTGGCCCTGGTCTACACCAACAGCAAGCACATGGACAATAGTTTTGCCCGGAAGACCATGCTGAGAGTACTGTGACCTTCCAGAGTTTGACTCTCAGATTTGCAAGTCACCAAAGAGGTCAGAAGACTGAGCAGGAAGGAATTGTTGGAATTCATTTCCACCAACAGCAAGAACCTGTTGAGGTTGATGGTGGAATGTGCCAACTGGAAAGCCAGTAAACACCCATCTCCAGGAAGAACACTGTATTTGACCTTCCAAGCAGCTCCGAAATAAAGAGGAGAATGCAGAGGCAATAACTGTAATATTACAATAGATGATATCTCTCTCTCTGTGTTTCATATACTATAGATCTCATTTGATATATGATCACACCCAGAGCCAACGTCCCTCCCACACATAATTGTCATCCACAGTAATTCCTAGTTCAAAACTCCTTCCCTAAATTATGATGTAGAAGCCATGATTTCTATTTCTATTTCTATTTCCAGAGGACAAACTCTCTAATCACCCCCCCACACACACACACAACCTTTCTGTATTGGTGCTGACCATGAAATTCTCAGAACTATGTTATCTGATAATGGACCACAACCCTCCCATTTCAGAAGGGATCTTGCCCTTTGTCTGAGAGGGAGGGAGGGAGGGAGGGAGGAGTGATGCTCAGAGAAGCTAAGAAAAATCTCAACAGACAAGCCTTATTGAGATTTCCCCATCAGCCTAATATTAGGTCTGCTTTGGTTGTATTATGCCATAAGACTCCAGAGGGGTTCTAGATGGTTGAACATGTGGAAGTTGCTGGAAAGGATGTGCCCAGAGAAAGCAGAGATACTCCACATTCCTTTGGACATACCCAGTTGCCCTGTGTCCTTTGAAATAACCAAAGTAAGTGTTCCCCTGAGTCTTGTGGGCATCTCTAGCAAGTTGGTCAAGTTTGAAGAGGGGTTGTGGGAAGACTGTCAGACTCCTAGACAGAGGAGCCTGGATCTCGTGACTGGCCCTGAAATCAGGGTTCATTCTTGGGGACTGAGCACTCCACCTATGAGATCTGATATCTCCAGATAAAGACTGTCAGTACTGAATAGGATTAGCAACACCCAACTGACATCCAGCTATACAGTGTATCTTGTTGGTGGGTGGGGATTTCTCCTAGACCTCGAGTCAGAAGCAGGCTGACATGCCAATAGAAGAAATTGAGTTTGAGATTTGAGTTTATTTTCCTTCTATATTCTCAGGGATTTTTTATCAAGCCCTCCATAGGAGAAAGATTCCTTTGTCCCAGCTGGAGGCAAGGCACTGAGTAGATGCTGACTATAGCCAGTTACATAAAAAGCAATACAACTTAACCCCTCAGTTCTCCCCAGATGAAACCCATCTAGTACTTACAGTTCCGGCACCTGGTTGAGACCCAGAGGACTTCAGAATCTTTAAAACAGGGACTAGATTATCAGGGCTGACCAGATGTTCAGATCTGCTGCAGCCAACAGGTGTGAAGGTGAATCTCTGAGAGCACTGGCTTAGGTCCCCACCACCCACTCTGATACATTGTATCACCTTACTACAGCCAGGAGTATCATTTCAACTCTGTCTGGAGAACACCGCATTACTAAGCAGCTGTCTCGACTTTCTGAGTGACCCTTGACACCTGTCTTGGGTCTCAGTTTCTAAACAGTATAGAGGAGAAACAGTTTATGAATGGTTCTGCCAGGTTTCAGGTGCAGAAAAGTCGTCTCGCCCTGCAGCAGATTTAGTCATCCCCTAAAACACACAGCGAAAAGTTGCCGGTCCATAGCTAAATCTGGCACCAGAAAATTCCCAAGGAAGACGAGACCAAATCAAGGACTAAATGTTCTCCAGTCTTGAGGAGATTTCATCATCCACTTTGCAGGAACCAGGAAAGGTTAATATGACTTACCTGCCATGTGCCTTGATCTCCTGTGGCAGCTAGAAACTTTTTTCTGCTTAGACGAGTTGGTCTTTTATAGCTGCCTGTAAGAATGTGTTTATGGGAAAGGCCCAAAGGGAAGGATTTTGAGAGGTTGAAGTGGCGTAAAGGACACACACACACTCGGGCTCAGTAGGGAACACCCTGTGACTCCATGTAGATGCAACAAGGAAACCAGAGGATGTCAGGGAGTAGTTGGTGCAATATCGCTGACTAGGTGGCGTTACTCCTCTCTCCACCTTCCAGCTTAAAATCTGCCAGCCTGGTCTAGGCAGGGAAGGTTCAACTCCAAGCCCTGTGCGTGCGTGACCCCCAGTGAGTCTGAATCGCTCTTAGAACTAAGTCTAGTTAAATGTCACCCTCATTCAGTTACACGTCACTTTTAACTCTTCCCTTACCTTCTATCCAATCCATGGTAGGATTAATGGACTAGTTTTTTTGTATTTAGGGTGATTAAACAGCATTAATTTGGGGAGATCAAATTCTCAAAAGATTTGACTTTTTGGAAGGAGTCACCAGAGAGGAGAGAGAGCAGTCCTCATTCATCATCAAGACGCTGGGTCACAGACCCCTCAAATCGATTCACCTTTCAGTGTTTTGAATTGTCCAGTGGTAAAAGTCAAAGGTTAGTTTAAATGAGTATTATGGGTCTTTGACTTCAAGCCTTTTATACGGTGTCTCCTTAAAAACAATCATGGCCTCAGAAATTATCCACCGAAAGTCCAGAGACCAAAATCTGACTTTTTTCTCAGTAACTTGGAAAGTGTCAAATGTGTCAGAACCAAATAAGAAGGAAATGGATCTGAGAAGACAGAATTTCATCAGCGTGTTTTACGAGATAGGAAACTTAAAGGATGGGCTCTACAAAGTCATCTTTGAATGAGAAAACTCAGAGAGGACACTCATCCACCATAACCCACACCACTAGTTTTACCCTGAGGAAAGTGATAGCCCATCTCCATCACTGAAATACACTTAAAAACTATTTCTTTTTTATTTTTCTTTTTGTTTTTGAGACAAAGTCTCATGATGTAGCCCCAGCTGCCTCAGACCTCAATATGCAGCCCAGGTTAGCCTCAGAGTCACACGATCTTCCTACCTCAGTCTCCACAGTCCTGGAATCACAGGTCTGAACAGTCAGCTTCTTAAAGAACATTTCTCTTCTGAAGAACACAGGCGAATGAGCTGAACATCTCAGAAGGCTGCAGCCCAGCAAAGGGCACAGATGCCGGGCTCTTCTTATTTTCTTTGAAACAATTGAGCTCTGCAGCCAAGCATTGTTCCTTTGCATCTATTTCCTGAATGCTGGGGCCTGTTTCTAGTTTTTGCATCTATGGGTTCAGGAAGCTCTGTCTTAGATGGATTTTATTTGAGGGTGGTTGTATTTGGGATCAGTCTCAGGCCTGGACACTGCTAGGCAAGTGCTTTATCACCAAGCTATTTCAAGATGGAACTTTCTTCTACAATGCTCATTGGATAACACTGTGTCCTTAAATAACATATAGTGAACTACAGCAACCAAGGTAACAGCAAAAGCAGGTCTTAGATCTCTGCATTTGATGAACTATGTCCTGAGTTTGGTCAGGGATAGAACAGCATCAGCACCAAACCAGGGTGGCCTATCTGTTGGTGTTAGTAGGAAGCATGGTGGTTGGTTGGTGGGCACGCCGTTGTCCTGTAGCTGACTGCATTTTCGTAGATTTACAGACATTACACTGATAGCTTATTCACATGAGTTTCGCATTGTGCTCAAATCCTCTTAGCACAAGCACCTGACTCCCCAGTAGAGAACTGGTAAATCGGTCTGAAAAATGAAGATTAGGAGACTGAAAGTTCAGAGGAAAGCTAAAATTTGCCAGAAACTTCTCATAAGTCAGCACAGAGATTTCAGTAATAATTTTACAGATATTTTAGTAATAGCAACAGTGGAAATGGAGAGTGCCCAGTGAGGTCAGGGTGCAGATAGTGGATCCCTTAATCAACCATACATGGGCACACACACACTCAAACTCACATGCACACCCAAACCCACACACACATCTACACTCACACACATATGCACACACACTCACATGCACACAGACACACATACTCTCACACACTCACATGCACACACACACACACACACACACACACACACACACACACCAGCATTCAGTGGCCTTAAACATACTTTGCTTACTTCCGTTTCCTTCCAAAATGAGAACTCTTGGGCAAGTGAGGAGGACAACTCTGCTCAGTTATGAGATCCAGCTGCAGCTGCTAGGGATGACCATAGGCCTGGTTTTGGTCTGTGGCCTTCCAGCCACTTCTGCTATCTTTGGGGAGGGGACAGCTCCTCTCTTCCCTCACTGTCGGCCTTAGACTTCTTTTACTGGCCTGGCAGTCACTTTTTTTTGGGGCAGGCTATTTTTTTCTGCTTGTGCTAAAATACATTTCCTCTTGTTGGATTCCTAGAACAACACATAACTAGACTTCCTGACCTGAGGCGGGCTCTGAACGCCAATGTCTTCTCTGTAGGATTCATTTGTTGTCCTACCTCAGAATGGAGGATCTTTGTCATTCTGGTTTAAGCCATCCCCTGGTCTCTAGACCAGTATGACTATAACAAGACTCTGAATGGTGTCCCTGAGTAATATGGACCCTGGGGACAAATAGAAACACTGCCAGGTGACTGCCTTCAGATGAGGAACTTGTGAGCAAGGAAAAGAAATGTCTGAAATGGATTGCATGTTTCCCTGGAGACAAGAGACTATTGTCTTCTCAGATTTTTTATTGTGTGCTTGTTTTAAGCAGGACATTGATAAGCTGCATAATGGCTTCTGGGACCGACAGCACACAGCACAAGGGTTTTGACCAGAAAACCCAGCAACAGTGAGTTATTCCAGTTAGTCATAGCCTGTTGAGTCTGAAGAGTTGGTGTCGGTCGAAGCCTTCCTGGGACCTGCCCATTGAGGAGAGCAGGGGGAATTCCTAAGAACTACCCTGATTAGGTGAGCAGAATGCCGTGTCTTCCTGTTCTTTCGTGATGGACCGCCCGCCCCTCCCAGTCAAACCCATTCTTATCCATGTGCTGCCTCTCGCTTCCACTTAAATATTTATTGAGCTCTTGATATTATGTGCTTCCCGATTCCTCCTTCCTCTCTTCCTCCCTCACTCCATCCAGCTTACAAATTATGAATTTTTATAAGCTCACTTCAAATGAGAAGGGTTTCAGATCTGCTCCACGTCTTGTCAGGGCAAGGCATAGAAGTGGCGGGGGGAGCGGGGGAGCGACAAAGCTTAACAAGCAGCAAAGATAATTTATCCCAAATAAACCCTAAGATGGCCAGGATAGAAGTGAAGCCATGAGCCAACCCTCAAAAGTCACATAAACTAAACTAAACTAAACTAAATTAATTTTATTATTGCTATAGCTTTTCTCTGGGGAATCTGATAAAATATATCTTATAGTAACCCCATATAGATGTTTCAGAAAGTGTCTCGATTCTGGGTTGGGAATGTAGCTCAATTGGAATAATGCTTGCCCAGAATGCATAAAACTCTAGGCCACCACACACATGGTGCATGGTGGTGCCCACCTGTGGTTTAAGCACAAGATCAGGAGTTCAAGTTCACCCTCAGCTAGAGAGTTTGAGGTCCACCTAAACTAAGTGAGATCTTGTCTTTAAAAAGATGGGGGGGGGCCTCAAATCTCACGCAGACACATGTATGCATGCCCTGCCCACCCACCCACTAAGTAAGCAGTAGGAAAAAAAGGAGTACTGGATTATTAAGACAGCAAGTCAATCTCTAGTCCTAGCCTGATACTTTGGCCATGTGACCTTGCAGAGTCACTCTACTGAGACACCGGGGTTTCCTTATCTGTGGAGGGGAGGGGGACACACTAAATGACTGAGGGAGTTTCCTTGGGTTCCAAAGGCTAGAGTTCTGTCACGAGCCACCAACTCTAGGAGGTTCCAGCTCTAGTGTCCCTCTACTTCACTGGACAAGCCGGCCCATGTCTCATGCCCTCTGTTTTCTTGTCAATGTTAGGATCGGCTGGGTCATATGGTAGGGAAGTGTCCTCCCTAAAAGTCATTGTTCTTTATTCTGAGGACAGCCGGACACAGAAGAATGGCAGAGCTCTCGTTGACAACAGTTTTATAAGGAACTTGGTTGTTTTGCAGACACCCATGTCGGAAGCTAGGGGGACACCCGGACTCCCGATCTTTCTGCTTTTCTCCTTCTACCTCTCTCACATGCCGTGTGTTACCAAGTCTGTTTGTCAGAAATCTCTTGCTTCAGTAGCTTTCCTCATGTTTCCCACATTCTGCGGCTCCCCTGAATCAGCTCCGAGTGTATGGCCTCCTTACACAGCTCCCCGCCACACCCGATCATCCACCCCACCACTTCCTCTACCCTGACATTTTGGTCAGCCCGGCACTGCCCATAGGACACAGCTCAAGTGTCAGTGAGACTCCATAGCATGGGTGCTCCTGTGTCTCCAGCCTGCCGCCCATCATGCTTTCACCCACCCAGACTCTCCCAGCTGAACTAACCCGTTCAATCTTCCCCAACCCGCAGCACGGGCTTCTGCTTCTACACCTCTCCCTGTCACACTCCATGACTGTGCTCACAACCTTGTCCCCACCACCCCAGACTGGAGATAGACCTTGAACTTTTATCCTCCTGCCTCTGCTTATCCAGTGCTGGAATTACAGGCATGGACCACCACATCTGGTTTATGCTTCATGCAAGCACTATACCAACCTACTGAGATACATCCCATCCCCAGACCTCTGATTTCTTTATTCGTCTTTCCTGTTGCTCAAACTAGACCATAAATTCTGAAGAAACTCAATTATATTGGGCAATCCATAACATTTGCTTTGATGATCAGGATGACATTAATATAAAAGGTATCTTGCTGGCTTAGCCTACTTGTTCCAGTCTTGGCTGTCAGTTCTAACGCTGTCCCACGGATCCATTTTCTAGCTTGTTTGAAATAGCATGGTGATTTAGAGTGTAGCTAGAGTCTATGATAACTGCATTTTCCTTTGATCTCCCTTCTTCCCTGTCTTAAAACCCCCATAGCCTATTACAAATTAGACGGATTCAGAGCAAGCTGAGCTGTCGTGAGTAACATCGTTGCTGAGTTGTAAGCTCAGAATGGGGCCAGAAAGTTGGGATTGAAGAGTGTCAGGAGCCTCCTTAGTGAGCTCATATACCCCATACCAGTTCCCACCTCATTTCAATGCCTGTTTCCTAGAAGCCCCTTCTCTCTCAGAAGTCATGGGCTTCCAGTGTTATGCTTTGCACTCTTCAGTCTCTGTGTCAGATGGAGGCTGGAATGGGC